GATCTTTGAACCATTTTGATTAATTTTTGTATATGTTAGGTAAGGGTCCAACTTCATTCATTTGCATATGCATATACAATTTTCCCTGCACCATTTGTTGAAAAGACTGTCCTTTCCTTCATTGAATGGTCTTGTACGCTTGCCAAAAATCATGTGACCATGTATGCATGGGGTTATTTCTGGGCTATTTTATTCTATTGGTCTATATATCTTTTTGTGCCAGTACCACACTGCTTTGATTACTATAGCTTTTTTAGTAAGTTTTGAAATCAGAAAGTATGAATACTTCAGCTTTGTTCTTCTCAAGACCTCTGGTCACATAGAGGTTTTTTCTCCCATATCTCCGAATAGGACTGAATTGTTTTCCTAATGTCATCAGCAATTTAACTCTTTCCCCCGAACCTGAATATATTACTCAGCATACAACACAGGGCTCTTTAACATTTCAGGCCCCACCCAAACAACTTTTCAGATTTTACTATCCAGTCACCTATATCATTCTTCTTCATGGTCCTAGTTAACAGTCCCCTTTACCAACATCATCATTTCACATCTCTTTATACAATCTTTTAGGATGTGAACTGTATCGTGAGAAGCTGTGTATTCTACAACAGTGCTGTGCCTAACTCTTAGTAGGTATTCGATAAATATTAATTGAATGGACCAATAAGTGATTTGGTATAATGTAAAAGCCAGATACCAGACAAACCAACATAACCTAAAATGCATTCTATATTCTATTCACTTGGCTAATATAATTGTTTCCTACATACTCTTTGTTATTTTAAAATATTTGAAGGCCACTTGCAAAAAAAAAATTGGCCTGAAATCTGAGATACATTCAATTAATGTGGAACACATGGTGTTTACAGAAGCATTACCAAATAGTATCATGCTAGTGAATCTTGATAATGTATGTCAGAGGATTTCAGCATTAGCCCGCAACAACAGCATTACTACAAATAGCTGAACTATACTGTATGAAATTAATTTCCTCATGAAATACTGCATGGCCAGGTTTTTGGGAGTTGGCTAGCTAGATTAGAAATATTATCATCCATATTACTGGTAAAAGGAGATGATGTGGCTGTTTATTAAGTAATTAGCTTTAAAAATCCTTGATTTTTAAATTGATATCAAATTTAAATACTGGGTCTCCAAGCACAAGATTCTAGGAAAGCCCCATTTCACATACTTCAGTTTGAAGATAAACATGGTTCAATCTATGCGCCCCTCTTGCAAAGCTTGTGTTGCTTGTGTACTTGTGACCTTTGAGCTGTGTACACCAGCCTCTGTATGCCAGATTCCTAATATCAGTGTGAATAAGCTACTAAAATTTGAGTGGTGGGAAAAGAAGGAGTTCTTAAATCTCTCCTCCCCATTCTCCGCTAGTTCCCCTTCCTTTACTACTTCTCTTCTTCCTCTTCCCTCTTAACACGTCTGCCATTGTCTTGGGTAATGAAGAAGTTTGTCATTCAGAAGAGAGAAATTTCTCCTCAGTTAAACCTCATATGTTTTTAATCATCCTTCATATGCCCAGTGGTTTGTATCAGAAATGAGGTCTTTAAGGAACTTGACCTTTCAGAGTCAAGAACTCTCCATGTTAAAGATTTATCTTTTGGTAGGAGGATTTTTTTTAAAGTATAATGATGTATACAAGTAGAATGTTACAATATACATTCTATATATTTTGAGTCTTTAGATATTTTAAAAGAGCATAATTCATCTTTTCTCATTTGCATTGCAAGTAGGTTCCCATGTTTTTTAATACTTGAAATGGTTGAACTCTTTTTATATCTTGAACTTCTTCTGGACTTTTTTGTTTGTAACTTTTAAATTGTGGAAATGACAAAGAAGCTGCTACTAGAAGATGGTGGTTTAGCTTGACGCGGTATGGTAGGTGACCAGTTAAGGTTAGGTAACCTTTGTTTCCCAGGCAGGGCAAATCATTTAACCCTCTCAGTAGGCACTGGAGTTTAGGAAATGAGTGGAAAACAGAAGGTAGAATGATGATGGTCTATACAAGTCCTCAAGATTACTTGGCATACTGATGCAAATTTTCCAACATTCCAAGTATGCATAAATTCCATGTACGCACACTGGTTTCGCCACTTCACAGACTTGTATTCTACATTTGGCCTAAATGACAATTCAACTCTGGTTTTCATCATACCTCAGTAATATGCTAATTTCATCCTCGTGGCTTGTAAGAGTCAATGTCATAAGTTGGAACTAACTTATTAGTAGAGAAATTGGGAATAATTGGTTCAATGTTTTTCATAGCTGATTGTGTTTTCAGGATGAAAACCAACTGACCACAGATCAAAAGTTGCAAAAAAAAAAAAAAAAAAAATATCACCATGTTCCACTTGTGCCAACACAATTGATTGCTTGGGTATTTCCCTCAGAACATCTCTCTTTGACAAATACAGTCACTAAAAAATTGTTAGTAGCAGAAGCTGCTGCTTTGCATCCTGAGTTGGCAGTAACAGATTGCCTGAAATCCACATTGGCACCCCATATTCTTTTCTTTATTATGTATTGAGTAAAAGGTGGCTGCTAAACTGTAAACAATTTAAATACATTTCCTTCTGCATTAGACTCTTTTAAGTTTTACAGAGTTAGAAAATGTAGTGTGGCCCTTTCTATGTTTTCGAAACTGGTGACTGGTTTTCCATACAAGGTAAATACGTATGACGTCCCCTGTTGTTCTTCCTACATCATAGGTTAAGCATTTTATAGGTTTCGAAGCCCTTGCATATATTATTTGACATTCACCTTACACAACTCTACAAAATAAGGCAAAATTAACTCTAATAATTTATAGATGATAATGAGGCTTGGAGAATTTCAGTAGGTTTTCTGTGATCATAAACCTAGGATATGGTAGAACTTGGATCAGAATATAGGTTCAAATTTTCAGATTTGAGCCCAGGAAAATCCACTGTAATTCAGGTTCAGAGCATTATTGCTTTTGGCCAAGGGGTTATTGTATTATGATCAAAATAAAGAAATAGTATATTTTGCAATTTATGCTCTAGTGGTGCCAGATATCACTTTATATTTCTCATTTTCATCACTGTGACCTCTTGATAAAAGGAGATCTCATTGTTATCCTTCCCTCTGATTTCTTTAAGAGTTAATCTCATTTGCCAACAATATATATATGTATATTTTGAGACAGGGTCTCACTCTGTCACCCAGGTTGGCATGCAGTAGTGTGACCACAGCTGACTGCAACCTCTACCTCCTGGGCTCAAATCATCCTTTCACCTCAGCCTCCTAAGTAACTGGTACTACAGGAACTCGCTGCCACACTCAACACTAATTTTTTTTTTTTTTTTTTAGGAGACATGGTTTCACATGTTGCCCAGGCTTGTCTTAAACTTCTTGGCTCACATGAGCCTCCTGCCTCGACCTCCCAAAGTACTGGGATTACAGGCGTGAGCTACTGCACTGGGCTTGCCAACAAGAATTTTAAGACCTGGCCTAAATATTGTAATTAACACATTAAGAGGTTATATCAGCATGACCTCTTTTGTTTCCATTTTCTAGTGCTTATACTTGTGAATGTAATTTAGCATTACTTTCAAAATGGTAAATTTTACTTTTTGCAGTTTCTATGACAGAGTTTACACAGTTGCATTAAGCCAAAGTGTGGGTCATCTTCTGAAATCTCTCTGGCAAAGGAAGAACACTCATTATTGAAGTATCAGGAGTTAGAAGAGGCCAGGTGTAGTGGCTCACACCTGTAATTCCAGTACTTTGGGAGGCCAGAGCAGGAGGATTGTTTGAGCCCAAGATTTTGAAACCAGCTTAGGTAGCACAGTGAGATCCTGTCTCTACGAAATAAATAAATAAATAAATAAATAAATAAATAAATAAATAAATGAATGAATATAGAAAGAGCCAGGCATTTGTCTGTAGTCGCAGCTATTCAGGAGGCTAAAATGGGAGGATCACTTGAGCCTGGGGGGTGGAGGTTGCAGTGAGACATGGTCATGCCACTGTACTCCAGCCTGGGTGACAGAGTGAGACCTTATCTAAAAAAAAAAAAGAAAAAAGAGAAGAGTTTTGCTGTTTCCTGTCATTCCTGTCAACTTTTGCCCAGCAGAGTTCAATGCACAGCTTCTACATAGAGGTGATGATTCTGTCTGGTCATGAAATGGTTTTGAGATGGAGGATGATGCTATGAAGAGTAAGGAAATATTGAAGGACAATGATTTTTATACTGATTTCTGGGCTTCTTAAGACATGTATCTTTACCCTATCTGTCTTTTGCAGTGCCACATATACAAATGAGTCCTAATGTTTTCTTATTAAATATTGGCCCTTAATAATTATGCCTAATGTTCCACTATCGGAACGTAAGCTTGTGGGAATTATTTATATCCTACTGCTCAAGGTCATCACCAAGGTCTGATTTTTCACAAAATAAATTTGCTGCCTCTGGCATAAATGGGTTACTACTTGACCGAGTATCTGGTCAAAGAGTATGTTCCCATTTCTCAGAACCCGGGAGAATCTTGAGGAATGGCTTTCTCTCTTCAATGCTTTTGAGGTTTTATGCCTACTGGGTATAAAGTAGTGAATCATGTCTTTTCCTTTTTAAATTTTTAAATTACAGATATAGTAATGCAAATTTGATTTCTCATCCACATAGACCCATATATTAAACTGATTTGAGTGTATTTCCCTTTTTTGAAACACAGGATTAGGAAAAGAGAAAAGTCTAAATTTAGAAAAAATATTGTGTTAATTTTAATTGAGATACTGGCATTGTACCTAATAACATTTGAAACCTTTGAAACCTCTTGGGACCTAACAATGTGCTCAGGGAAACTCAAGATATTGTATATATACAATGTAAGAAACTTGTTACACGTCAGTTCCCTATGATTCTATCAAATGAAAATGAAAATGTGTCAGACATTAACCCCTCTGGGAACTTTGGAGAGTTTCATCTGAAAGTTCATCTCACTCCTCCCTTCTCCTCTTAGGTGGCCATGTTTGTGCTGCAACTGGGCAGTGCCACATTCGTGGTCACGGAGCCTGTGATCAGTGCAATGACAACTGGGGCTGCCACCCATGTGGTGACTTCACAAGTCAAATATCTCTTGGGAATGAAAATGCCGTATATATCCGGACCACTTGGATTCTTTTATGTGAGTTTTTCATATGTTTTCATACATATCTTTTGAATGTGCAAGTTTCACAAAGTAGAATTTGGTTAATTACAATATTGAGATTTTTCTGTATTAAAGCAACTTGGGTTTAAATAAAATCTTATAGGATATTTTGAGTGTGACTTAAGGTGTGAAACTAATTTAGTGAGTAATTTCTACTAATCTTGGAAATTATTCCTTGTAATGAATACTTGAATATGAGCTAATTTGGGGGCATAAGTAGAAAAAAAAAAAAACTAGAGTTTTTTGTGAGCCAGGTATTGTTGCCAACTTCTAATGGAAGTCATCCACTGGAATTATGGTCCAGTTTAACAATAGTGCACTCCCCCACATTCTTTCAGTATTGCAAACCCTGGTATGGATTAAATCAGAGGCCTGGTCGAAATTGGTGTCTAGAGCCTCAGTAGCAGACAATCAGTTATTAAAAACCACCTGAACCTGAGAAAGAGAGCAGCACCTGGCCATTTGCAACACATTTTTCTAACAACACTCCTTTGTTCTTGGGTTTGTTTTTGAAGTGGACCTAAAATCTGTAACTGCTCAAGAACTCATATCCTATTAGAGGTTTATTTTTTAAAAAGTCTTGTTAATGAATTTGATGACAACCAAACTTTGTTTTGTTTAACTTTATGCATTGCTGTATACTAAATAACATTAATTTTTGTTTCATAATGAGAGTATTGTCATTCTTAATTTTCTTAAATATTAATGGCTGGAAGGAGCTCAATGAATGGAGTATGGTAATTTATCTATGTGTTATTGAGGTTGTTTCTGGCATTTCTGTATTATACATGGCCCCACGAGGATCCTCTTTATTTGCATATTAATCTCTGCAGCATTGATTGTTTCAGTAGCGTAAATTCCTATAACAGAATTATTAGGTCAAAGGGGTATAAATTTCAATATGAAAAGTTGTATCCATTAATATTTTACTCTGACCTTATCATTGTCAACTCTGGTTATGGCTATTTTTTAAATGACCATTTGATATGTGAAAAAAATGGTATCACTTGTCTAAGTGTGTTTCTCTGATTAGTTGGTAAAGTAGTCAATAAAAAGCAATTGGCAACACAGAACTGGAAGCTGGTTCTGAATTTCTATTTCTTAGATAATATCCTGCTCAATGATTCATTCATTGTAAGAATGATTAACACTAAAACAAGAACACTGGAACTGGGTCTGGAAGCAACATAATTCCAAGCTCCAGCTCAAACAAAAGCAGACCAAAGTAGCTGTAAGCTGTCAGGTGACTGGTTGAAAGATTAAGACTTTCAGTGACAGCAGGTCTACACGACAGAACCAAAGCAGTGATAGTTTCTGTCTTGACCTTTCACCTGGAAATGGCCTGCTTGTCCGCACATGTGCAGCTTAAAGAAATGACTGTCCATTACCACTTGGCCTCTTGAATCATATCTGCATACACAAACGATCATCATTTTTTTTTTCTAGTTGTGTTCAAGAAGCAGGGTAGCCTGCTGTGAGAATGACGTTGGTCTTTCAGCTTGTTTCTCTGGTGGCATTGTGTATAAACTTCTATTAAACCCTTCAGTTAAAGGGTGTTGTGTGTGATTTTGTTTTTCATTTTGTTTTTTTGTGAGGTAAACTGCAAGCTACTTTAGCCTAGTCTTGTAAGTCAACACTGTGGGACTTTTTGGAGGTGTTTCTTTTTTTTTCTTGAGACGGAGTCTCGCTTGTCACCAGGCTGGAGTGCAGTGGCACGATCTTGGCTCACTGCAATCTCTGCCTCCTGGGAACCCTGGGAACCCAAGCGATTCTCCTGCCTCAGCCTCCTGAGTAACTGGGACTACCGGTGCGTGCCACCATGCCCAGCTAATTTTTGTATTTTTAGTAGACAGGGTTTCACCATGTTGGCCAGGTGGAGGTCTTTCTTCAAAACTTTACATTGAAACGGAATCAGATTTGGGCATATTTTTAGACTGCTGGCTTTAAATTCACGTTACTCCGTTGATAGAAATTGCTATGCTTTGTGTTGATGGAAAATGAAAAAAAAAAAGTTGCTCTTGCTTTTCAATATCACAGAGTCCTGTACTGTGAGGCTGTTAGGTGGGAATGGTGCTTTGGTTCTTTGCCAAGGTTTCAAATGGATGTTGATATTACAATGCCAAAAATTCTGGTGATCTGAGTGTTAGATTAAGGAATAAATCTTACATCATGCACAGCTTGCACTGGGATATTGAGAAGTGCACTTTGGTGTACATAGGCTGAGAGAATCTGATGATGGCTACACTTGCCCCTGGATTATTATAAGTGTTGCAGAAAGAAGCAGAGCTGAACTCAGCAAGGATGTAGAGCAGAGGATATCATACAGGCCTTGGCTAGCATGTCAAAGAACCTACAGCAAAATGAGTTGACAATTTGCGTGACTTTTCACTCTTTGACATGCATCCTGCCTCTGAGTTTTCACAATTGTTATATCCTTTTAGAAAGCAATTCAGGCTGATGAGAGATAAAGCACATGTTACTGATATTCTTGGAACATAAATTGGATATCTAGAATATTTAAGACTCTTGCACAATGAGCCAGTCATGATTCCTGATAGTCTCAGGTGGGCTACTCATTTTTGTCAAAAGAATCCAGTTTTAGCCAATCAAAATATCCATTGATTATTCTTAGGTTGAGGTCTGCAGATTGTGGTCTCTTTATTCTGCCACGATGTGGTTTCTACAGTGTCTTCCTCCCAGGGGATGTCTGATTCTGTACTATTCAGAGAATCTCATTCCCTAGTTGAGTTGGATGAGTATGAACAGCTAATATTTCCATCTCTTTGGTTGCTCTGGGGTGGCAGGTGTCCTTGCCACAATGAAATATTTTTAGGGAGCAATTTGAATCAGATACCGGTAGGGATTTGTGCTCAGTTCTGCCCCCTTAGATGATAGATAACAGACTTCTCATAGGCTTGAGGGATAAACATGCCATAATGCCTTCCCCTTTTCTACATCTGGCACGAGGAACACACGCCCCGACTCCAGCAAAGCTCAGGTGGTTGGGCCGCTCTTTCTCTTCTAGCTGAAAGTTGTTAAAGAGTTTCCTCAGGCGAGGAGTTCTTCCAGTGTGTTAAACATTACTAAGGCTTTCCCCTAGAACTCTGAATGCCCTTTGAGAATTTCTAGGGTCCGCATATTCAAAGGGAGCCTCCAGAATAACTGTCATGACCCTACTATATCGCTAAGAAGAGTGGATATAATTAGGCCTAACTTACCCTTTTATTTAGCCTTCCTAAATTCCTTCACAGGTAACTCTTTACTTTTTAAATTTGTTCTTAAAGTTTTATCTCTAGATTCATATACTTCTGATTAAACTGTCTTTCTTTTAGTATTATGGCTGGTTCTTAGTAAACTTTAACGATTACATCAATGCGTTCTTTTTCAGGTATACATTGGGAAAAAAAATTTTTTTTCTCTGAGGTAACTTTTAGCTTTTGTTAGTTTATTAGGGCTCATACAATCAGGTAGACACTGAATTTTTTTTTCCTTAGAAAGAGGCAACAGGGGAAAGAACTTTAGAATCATAGAAACCAGTCTTCAGACCACAGCTCTAGCCATAACTTGAGCTAATGACCCGGTGTCTTTGATTTCCAGTTGTCTTGTCTGTTTTGTACACTGATGATAATTATACTTCTTGGAATTCATTTCCAAAATGAAAAGCATTGAACATAGGTGTTCATTAAATGGAAGTCATTATCTTTCTCACTAGTAGTTAATAGTTCAATGTAACAAATTACGGATTTTTTTAAGTGCCACTTAAGTAATAGATACTAATGCTTTTCTTCTATAGAGGACCCTTAATCAGATTTTTAAAAAAGACTAAATAACAAAACGAACTTATATGTATTTTAATGACTTAAGAATGGTTTGAACATTTATAAAACCTTTAGAAACAAATATATCTTCTGTTACTGGGGGTTGATCATTACAATTAAAGAAAAGCTATGTTTTTTAGTTTATTTTTATTTATAAATGTTTTCAACAGTTCAGCTCAAATCTCCCTCAGCAGTTATAAACCCATTTAATAAATTATAAACAGTGTTGCAATATCTTTTAAAAAAAGCAGAAACAATAATGTTATAAGGGTCACTTCTGTCTTGGGATCCTGGCTCAGAAGTTAAATTGTTCTATTCTTGGCTTCCTTTAAATTCAGATATTTGACCAGTAAGTTGGTTCCTTGCACAGATAAGTAGAAAAAGTTTAATTCTTATTTACAAAAAAAATTTTAAATTGAAGAATGATGAAGTATCTTTTTATCAGAAAGGATGTTTTCCTCCAAAAGCACAATAAAAATTACAAAAATTCCTAGTTTGTATTAGCACATGTGGGTTTCTTTGAGATGGCGCCAGTATCTCAGCCTGCAGCAGCCTATGATAAATTTGGCAAGGATACTTTCATTGGCATGGCTTTATATGAGCACTGCTCTAAATAATTATGTACGGTTATGTACACTAAACCCAAGAGCAAAAGACAAGCTTGGCAATATATTCAGCCATCCTTCTTGGAAGTTTTTATTTCCTTCCTTATAAATGGGTAGTTTCAGAACTGGAAAACAGTTTAATTCCCACCCCAATCCCTGAAGTACAAGCAAAGTACTTTTCTAGTTTGTACTGCAAAGACTGCAAAGGAGGAACCAAGAACATTAATAAAATGGGATAGAAATGTCAGAAGGAAGTCAGAGCCAATGAAACCTTTTCTTTTATAGAGAATGAGATCACAATTAAATATGTATAAATGGGGTTTATAGGTGGAGAACAAATCTACTTTGTAGACTTAGGCCCTGTGGGATTTCTGAATCAAGAACACGCTTTGATGGTTTGTGAAAGCTCACAGTTTCTCTGCAGATATTGTGACATCTCTATTGTGAATTGCAGGAATGTTCAGTATGCCCTGAAAAATGGACAGAATAAATTAAAGCGGAGAGAAAAAGAATGTTCATCTGTAACTTGATTCAATCAGTGATGCAGGGGATA